AACAAATCTCTTAGGTGCTCAGCAGGTAATAAAAGCCCCTTAATCCCGCTCTTAAATTAAAGACACAAACAGGGCTATAATATACCACAAAGTGCAGTAGTTTCTGTCTAAGGAAAATAGAATATCAGGACTGTAGGATTTGATACTGGTCTATATCTATCTCTCCTTTCGCCCCTGTCATCACACATTCATTTAGCCAGGTCCCTGACTTAAGGGGCCAAGCCTTATTTTTCAATAAGGCACTAGACTTACTCAGGCTTCACTGCTTTCTCATCACCCTCATCTACTTGTCTCTCTCTCTCTCTCTCTCTCTCTCTCTCCTCTCTCTCTCTCTCCTCTCTCTCTCTCTCTCTCTCTCTCTCTCTCTCTCTCTCTCTCTCCTCTCTCTCTCTCTCCTCCTCTCTCTCTCTCTCTCTCTCTCTCTCTCTCTCTCTCTCTCTCTCTCTCTCTCTCTCTCTCTCTCTCTCTCTCTCTCTCTCTCTCTCTCTCTCTTCGCTCTCTCTCTCTCTCTCTCTCTCCTCTCTCTCTCTCTCTCTCTCTCTCTCTCTCTTCTCTCTCTCTCTCTCTCTATCTCTCTCTCTCTCCTCTCTCTCTCTCCTCTCCCTCTCTCTCTCTCTCTCTCTCTCTCTCTCCTCTCTCTCTCCTCTCTCTCTCTCTCTCTCTCTCTCTCTCTCATGCTAATAGGAAGGAGGGGGTGGGTTTGAGGGAAGAATAGATAGAGACACTATTGTAGATCAGCTCTGATGGATGCAGGAGAAGGCTGTGTTGCTGGAAGGACTCTCTCTGCTGCTCCTTTACTCACTTTCAGAAAAAATGTGATTGCTTATGGTGACTTAGTGTTACACCAAACCCCTCACATATCCATTTTATTTACATTTTCCATTTTGCAGCACCCCTTCTTCATAATGCAGTACTGCCAATACATTGTTCAGATTCGTTTAGAATTCACCTTAGACTCAGATGCAGATCTTAAATATACAGTATGTAATGAATATAAAGTTGGATATATGAATACAAGTGAGGCTGGTTTTAAAAAATGTATACTAAATTACTTCATGAAATATTGTGTGCATGTCTTTTTTTCCTATTTCAGACACCTGCAGTGACTTAATGCTGAGGAGGCAGACTGCTTGAGTCGTGCAGCAGGGCTGGCTGTGGTTTTTTCCTTCAGCTGACCCAGTTGGGAGGCACACTGAATATGCAACTAAGACACAGACGGAAGAGAAACTCGGCGACACATGACAGAATAATCATCACAGTGCTCTAATATTCAAGAGAGAGAGCGATAACATTCAGGAGGAGGCAACAAAATATGGGAGCCAAGGAGGTTCGTATACGAGAGAAAGGAGAGAAGGGAAATGAGGAAGGACAGTGGAAAAAAAGATGGAGAGAAAACAGGCAACGGTGGAGCGCAAGGAATGCAGTAAGACATGAAGAGATAAGCGTTCTCTTCTATTCCCAGTAGATACTTTCAGAAGCTCAGCAAGTGTTCCTAATTCCCTTTGCCTCCGTTAGCCCCCTACTCTATAGCTAAAGATTAAACATGAATAAAGACTTTGCAGAGAGATGGAGAAGAGAAAGAGAAGAAAGACAGAAAAAGGAGTCTGGTGGTTGCCATAGTGATGAGTGAAGAGATTCCAGAGTGGTCTCAGCCATTACGCAGTGTGTTGGGGAGATGGACTGTGCAGCACTTAGGCTTATTGCAGTGTGGGCTGAAACAGAACAGATATCTAATATAGACGAGATGGGCTCGCACCAAAATGGTGGATGGTAAGCACAGACCTAATAAAGAGAGGCTGTAGAATACTGAGGTTTTACTGCCAAAAGCTATGCTGAGAAAAGCCAATCAGGCTAAGAAAAAAAGACATTTATCCCATTTGAGAAAATGGAAGGGCATCCAGTCAAAGCCACACACACATGCTCAGTGACATCTACACAGAGACATACTAAGGCACACAGACAAATGCATGCACATGCGTGCACAAAAACATAATCAAAGGTACATTGATCCTCTCCAACAACAGTCAAGTACAATCACTCTATTACTACAAAGCCAAGAACAACAGTTGTCGTCTTTGGCTAGGCAGTGGATCATATGTAATGTGCAGGCACAACAACAGCTAAAGATAGGACAGTGGTTTCCTGTGTAATCAACAAGACATTAGCATAAAACAAACGCAGCAAGATTCATTTCGACCATCTTTTCTCTTCACTTAAACAAATTTCAAACTTGTCCATGTTAAAAACCCCTAATTACAATTTTTCACAGCTGTGATGCAAGCAAGCTGCGTTCTTGGTAATGCCCACACACAGCCTGCATTCTTTATTTTTACAGTACATTATTCACAAGTTTACTTTCACTTCAAGGTAAACATAGCACACTCCACTTGCTCTTGCACTGTTTTGTGTGGGGAAAAGGAACAAAACCTGACAGCAAAGAGCATGTGCCATCAAATAGCATTAAAATGGAAAGTGATGCAAATACCGAAGAAGCACACAAATAAACACGTCATTTTTTTCTTTTTTCTGTTTCATAAATGCGTCATTTGACAGGCTGGTTATAGTATAACTTGGTCCATTAAGGAGTGTAGCTATGCTATCACTGAGCTATCAACACACACCGATACACAGTGCTTTCAGTGTTAGTCAATAAAATTAGATTATTTACAGTACAATTATGCATTTAGTCTTGTGGTTGTAAGGCACATTTCACTGTTATAAAAAGGGCAACATGTGCAGTAAGGAATTATTTGTTTATGAGAATTTTTTTGTCTCAAATGGAGTGTAACAAACTGCTTACATAAATAACTGTGGAAAAAGAGAAAAGAATAATCTGACCTAGATAATGAAGGAGTAAATAAAATAATAACAATATCATTACCAACCGACAAACACCAGATACTACTAACTTCCTGAGATGATCCACAGTGAGATGTACAATCTTTGGTCGTTGCTTGTTCTCAAATGTGTTTCCTGCACTATTTCTAACTGTGAACTAATCAAATCAAAGCAGAACTGTGGCTCTATGCCAGTGGCTTCTGGTCAAACAGACTTTATACAAAGCAGTACAAAGCAGGGTGTCAGCTTCTGTGACATCTTCCTGTTGGTTCTTGACTACCTGGGCAGTTCAATAGCGAAAAGTTATTTCAAACTTCACATTACTCCTGTGAGGCTGCCAAATAATACAAAGGGAAAAAGATATATTGTGGAAATTAACTGGTCACATTTTAAATTAAAACTTTAAATCTCCTTTTATCTCTTAGCTAAATGTTACAGAAAATGTCTAGAGTGGCATATTTCTTTGAAAGATTTCCACAAGTTGCTGTGGCCAGCATGGAATATACACAAAATGTATGTTTTGCTTTGTTTACCTAACTCTTACCATCCAGCTGATTTTAAGCCTGGTGTTAATTTGAATTAGTAACCAGATGAAACCGGTCTAGCCATGGGGTAAAGGTTCATTATCTCTGGCCTTTGTGTCAGGGAGCCCTAGTGGGATTATGGTGGCACAGAGGAGTCAAAGAACCAACGTGTGCCATGAGGACATTGCCAAAGAGGTTCAAAGGAAGAGGAGATTAGAATATAACAGAACGTGGGGAAGCAGAGAAGAGATGCGGTTTCACCTCATCTGAGGATTAAGGAATTCAGTGCTAAGATACATTCGTGTGCATATGTTGTATAATAAAGGCCAAGTGTGAATGGTCTTCCATCCATTCAGTTCCAGTGACCTGATGCTGTGCTTTGCATATCTCCTGTATTTCTCACTCTCCAATTAACATTCAGCCTAACCTACAGGTTAGCGCCACATGGGAGCAAAGCGGGGCCTCTTTCCCATGTGACATGAGTCGTTGCAGTTCGTCTTGCCAATGTCATGAGAGGTGGGTGACAGATAATTATGGCTTTGCACTCATTTCCCCTGATGCTCAACATGCTTGATATCCCTCTACCATTCTCGCTGGTACCAAAATCACCACAAGATTTAAGATTGACATTACTTCACATTATTCACTTAGCTTTATTGATATATGTTCGTGCCATAAACTGTACAGTGTGTGGATGTGAGTGTATGACTGCATGTAGTACAAAAAAAAGAAAAGTAGTAGCTCAAGTAGTAAAACTTTTAATTTTTTTTTTTTTTTTTTTTTTAACTTGCTGCAAACATATTTGCAGCAAGAGGCAATTACATCATCCAAGGTCAGAAGTTAGACAAGTCTGACAGTTTTGTTTCCACTAGTGAGAATGAAAGGCACGACTCCCCAATTGCCTCCCAGTGGAGTTAACAAACAGTCTCTTTGCTCTTTTGTCTTTGGTTTTATCTAGTCACGCAATGTGGTCTTAGGCCTCCCGAGTCGCTTGATGTTGCTTCATCGAGCCACATCCCTACATTCACAATATCTCAAAAAGACTGACAAACTCCTGTCAGGTAATTAGCCTAATTAGTCACTCGCTTGTATTTCCTTCCCCTCCCTAAGCTCGCCTTTACTCCTGCGTGGGTTTGACGAGTGCCATCATTAATATTATCCCACCACGGGTCATAAAGCATTCCACGTCATCATGATAAAGGTCCCAGTCGTGGCCTGGGAAGGGAGAGATGATAACCTAGCTGAATAGAATGGCTTTAAATTTAACCGTCTGATGATACTATTAGTTCAGTGCAGACTGCTAACCGTAATATAATTTATGATATATACCATATTCTCTCCTTCTCACTTTGTTTTCTTTCTTTTGTTAGGATATTTGAGAGATTTTGCTCAGCAGGACAGATGCTTTTCCCCCATTCAGCTATGAAACACTGCTGAAAGACCCACAGTATTGGACATTATTGGCATTAATGACATGAATGACAATAATCACGAATCTCAGAAGCAACTTAATTTAATGTAATGGACAAGTACTTTGAGACTGAACATAAATTAATAACATCCACATTTATGCTGTAGGAAAAAAAATCAATAATTTTTCCTATTGCTCAAAAAAAGATAATATAAAAGTTGTGTTACCTTCATAGACAGCTTTAAATCCCTGCCCACTGACCGCGTAGTCAGACAGTAGCCACAGCGTGAGCCTGGAGCCAGTACTCACAATGGGTGAAGGCAGCTGGAATCCCGTTAACCTGAGAACAAATCGAGAGAAGGACAATAACGGTCAGACAAAAAACAAAAAAAAAAAAAAGATCCAATCAACAGCACAGTTGGTTGCAAGGTCAGGTATGAAGCCCGCTTCCATCAAGCCAGCTGTTCCCTCAGGCATTCAAGGATAACTTTTTGTATAACGAGGCTCTGAATCATCCGCAAATTATTGAAATGCCAAGACCTCAACAGGACAGAAAACCTCAACAGATTTCTCTCCATCAGCGAAGACAGAGTAACTGCAATCATGTCTCCGCAGCGAATTAGAAAAACAGCAGCCAGTGTGGGAATGAAAAAAAACAGTTGAACAGACAACAAACATAAAACTGTAGGACTCAATGTCAACAACCATTTCTAACAACCAACCCGTACTTTTTTTGGTCTGCAATTCCGACTGGAACAGAAAATATGTTTGCTATTTACACCTGTAGCCTCCATCTACACTTGTATTTCTCAAACATCTTAAGAGTATGAAATTGGTCCTAACCCGCTCAAAATGATATGTATCAACACATATTGATTATGCATGCATGATCTTTGATGTCACCCCCAGACCACCACAGAAGATCCAAAGATCATATTTTTTAGCCTTTGCTAGCATGTTGAACTCTTGTCATACAAGTTGTACTATTTTGTGTTTAGTTTTGTCTTTCCTGCAACAAACAGTACAATAAACTAAGATACTTAACTTAATTTTCACTGTGTGTAAAACTTTGACGTCATTCACCCACAAAGGACTTAAACGACTCAAGTCATGCTTCGAGGGGGGGCTATTCCAAGTACTAATCAAGCATAATTTCTATAAGTGATTAGGAGCTGCTTAATAACCATGGCCAATCGCATTTCACTGGGATAATGTATAATGTTGCCCTAATCTGAAACTGATGATAAATATCAGCACTGCTATGCATAGAATGCTAAAGTGATATAATTGTTTTTTCAGAAGTATACTAATGTTAATGATAAACAACAGTTACCATAAACAATATCAAAATGAATTGTCCAAAAATAACCCCACACCTAACTTGAGACTTGTCAAAACTTCTGCAGGTAAGAAAAAAATGTGTAGCCTAAACCTTTGGCACTAAAACATTGATGTAGTCAATAATTCCACTAAAATGTAGAATGAAGCTTACCTTCACCTCCTGATGGCTGTAGTGTTGTTGTTTTTTTTTCATTAGGGTATACGACTTCAAATAGCAAATTTAACATAACACTACTGTGACAGTGGTGCTGCAGAATTTTGAACCAGCTGTAGCCACTTAACAGTTTATTCTGCTAATTAGCCACACTACAAAATCAAGGTTAACCTCGGCTGTGGCCTGGTTACATTAACTAACTCTGCTCAGTGCTGACAGTATGTGAAACATTGTGGTGTTCAGTCAAATGGTGGTATAGGGTCATAATCTCCACAGTCTCTCTCTAGTCTAGTTTTGGCAGTTAACCCATAAATGTTAGCTAATAACTTGTTAGCTAAGGTTACACTGCACAGTTTGCAATTATCTCACTCACTGCATAGTGCGTAGTAACGTTAGATCAAACGGGGCTGCTGGCAAGGTTAGCAGTGGCTGGTTATCTCCAAATTAAACGCAGAGCTGCCACGCACTGGAAAAACTAAAGGAGCCTATAACTGTTAGCGTCGACTCGGTGCGATTACACTCCACCCAGCTGATGCGCCACCGGAGGGACGCTGTGACAAGAATCAAGCGAACCCGCTCTCACGCAGTGAGTGGCAGAGTGATCGGGTACGTGTTTGCAATATAGAAATATTAATATGTGTGGATTTGTGGTGAAGTGTTTTCAGTTAGTTTCGTTTCGCACAGGTCTCATCCAGTCCCAAACGGTTTCTGTGTCTGTCTGTCTGGGATTCTATCATATCAGCAGAGCAAGTAATGAACAGCAGATTATAGGGCGGGGATATTTTGAAACACTGTGATTAAATGATGACGTTATTCTCATAGAAATCTTTCTGGATATGTCAGATTACACTATTATGTGGGATAGATGCAAAAGTTTTGAATATTCAGTCCAGGAGTTTCTAACTGAATTACATTCTCTATAATTAAAAGAAATACATGTATTTCTTTTAATTATAGAGAATGTATGGACTGCAGTCTCTGGTTTGACACATAGATTCTATGGGGGAAGACTCCCTTACACATGGTTAGGTTTTGTCAAAATTAAGGCTGTCATGTCTGGATGTTGGCAAGTATCTTGATCACACTGATCTGACCATGATTATTCACTTGGCTTTTCATCTACACATCCATGTGGCCATGTGAAAACAAAATTCCTGAGGATTAAAGAGTAATGACCCCGACCCCTGCGGTGGGATATGACACAATGAAACGACCTCTACAACCAAATCTCACTCCAAACTAAATTGAAAAGTTGGCAGCCCTGATTAAACATTTAATTAAGCATGTCACCTCAGTAATTTAAGTTCATCACCTCTGAATCAGGGGCTCTTGCCTTTCGACTGAGGAGTAGCTTGTCCTGTTTGTCTGTGAAACTATAACTACTTTGGCAGCCACTGTCAAAACTGTAAGCTTTTCAAAAGTCTTACTTAACATTAGGGCAGCCTGAAGAACAAGTACTGAGGCTGGATCAGTTATTAATTAGGGATGGTAATGCAAAATGGTTTGGTGCCCTCTGGTTGCACAAAGGTAAAATTCATGAAGTGAGTTTGTATTGACATATAGCTCATAGCATAACATGCATGTGTTTTAAATTTGAATAAAATAAATACAAATCAATAGTTATCATTAATTACTGTTGGGTATCAAATATACTAGTCTCACTTAGTTTGAGTTTACTGAAATACATTAGACTTTTTGATTCCCTTATCATTCAAGTAGTCTGTATCCCAAGTTCCATCCCAATTTGCATAGGTCAGAGCAGACAGAATCACTATATTTGGAGACATTTAATAAAGTCCTGTAACCAGTAGTGTGGCAAGTAAAACCTCTGAGGGACTTCTAAGCAATCAACTAAAATTATGTTGGAAACAAGTAATATAGTTTTGAGTAATGAGCCTTGTCTTATTAGGACCAGCTTCCAGCAGCGGGTTTACCAGGTTCCACTATTAAATCCATTTAACATGTTTGCCACCCACATACTGGCAATAGTCACATACACACTGCACATATTAAATAAAAAACAGGTTTCCACAGTCCATTTGTTGCTAGTCACCACAAGTTGATTCATTTGTGCATAGACATAAATGTTTGTGTGTGTGTGCACAACAGATCCCTGATTTAAAGATTCTAATAAAGGGGGACGTTGCACACCTCAATTTGAGCAAAATTTGCCTTCCCAACATCCACTTTAATTTTCACTCAGTGTTCCCACATGCACTCTCTCACTGCATGTGTATCCAACTCTTTACAATCTATTAAATCCATTCCTTTTATCTCTCAGTGTTAAGAGAGGCTTCAGTGTTTCACTTAATCCTTAAGTACCACATTTGATGTGGGGAAAAATTGCAAAACACCAGTGTGGGAAAGATGAATTGAACCAAAAAGGGAAGACGGCTTTAATGTATGCATGATTTCACTCCTCTCTGCAAGATTGTCACGGTGGGATATCAGCTAAACGATGGGACACATGTTCATGCAAATAGCCCCTTCGCTGACCGCAAATTGAGTTGGAATGCAGCCATCTTGGTTCAGCAGCGCACTGCGGGGAAGAGGGTGTTGATAGAGGGTATGATGGAAGGGCCAAAAGGGCGGGGTGGTGTTGGGGGGGGGTGTCTACCAACATGGTGGGATTCTTGCCACATCCAAAGCATGATCATCTGGCATAAGGCAGATACAGCCCCAAATCATTTTTCCAGGCTGAGAGAAAACAAAATGGATACCGTCAGAACACATAAAGAAACTGGCTTCACGTGCAAAGGGAGATTAAATATTGCAATGTGATGTGGGCCGTGGCAATCTGAGAGGTGCAGCTGGGGGATAGCATGTTATCAAGGAAAAGATGCAAGATATGATTGCAACTGAGCGATACAAAAGGATATTTTTGCAGCGCAGGTGTCTCAAGTGAGTGATAAAATGAAGGAGGGAGGATAAAAGAGGGTGAGGGACAGAAGAAAAGAGAGAGAGAGAGAGGTTAAGAAAAATAGCACAGTTATGGTAAATCAATGCCTGTTTCTACTGTATGGAAAGCTAAGTAATCTAAGAAATGAGTGCTTCTGAGAAAGAGAAAAATAGGTATATGTGTGAGCATGGCTGCATCCACACTGAGCAGTATATGCTGTTTGTGTGTGCAAGTGTTTGCATAAGCGCATGTGTGTCTGCATGGAGAGCAGCAGAGGTCTATTAAGAGAGCTTTCCACCTGACTGGCCTCAGCATCTTCTCAATGAAGAACCTCTGCTTCCAATTATCCCACCACTACCCACTGGAACGAGAGAGGGGGGAGACAGTAAATGTGCAGAGAGGTGGCTGTAGGAGAAAAGAGTGGAGATGTTGTAATGAGGAGATCGCAGTGTTGAAGAGCAGGTTGAGGGAGGGTGGTGAGAGAAACACATGAGCACGTTGGAATGTATAATCCTCCAACCATGAGCCTGAGTTGAGTGAGCTATTGAGGGATTCATGCTCACACACGCGCACATGCAGTTTTATTAATTTGAACATCTCCCTGTGTGTGTGTGTGTGTTTGTGATCTACCCCTAAAATATATGTGTGTGTTTACGGCTGTAAACAGAAACTAAATCAGATAATTCGTCCTTTAATCTTATTCAGTCAGTCAATGTGTGTGTGTGTGTGTGTGTGTGTGTGTATTCACACGGTGGAAAGTAAGTACAGTGCTGATACAGCTGATTTTCCACCCAGAAGGAGGGAAGAGGAAGGGATGAAAAAAGAAAAATAGATACAGCAGCAAGATTTTGATGGCTGAGTAGAAGGGAGACATTAGCCAATAAATGATGGGTGGTTAGAGAGAGAGACAGGGAGAGGGAGTTGAAGTGCAGAGGGAGCTATGTGT